TTGGGCATGGATCTGTGTCTCAATGTATCATTACTTATTGTATGGTATGAGGTATGCCTTTTTTAAATAGCTGCAAGAACATCGCAGGTTGCCCTTGTTGCCATAGCTTGATTAGCAGACTGAAACCCCAATGAGACTACTGGGCCACCAGTCTGGACAGGAACTCCAATATGGACAGGAACGCCGCGCTCGCGGCCATGAGGCCGTGACTGCTGAGATGCTACTGCCGCTGCGACGTGGGCTTAGCTCTACTTCCTCCGGGCCTGTTGAAGTGTTGAGTTCAATGGTGCACATCAATGTTAGGTGTAAGTAAATAAAGCATCGCGGTCAGAATTGGATCTTGTAGCAGCCAACAAGGCAGTCGTCAGGTGCATGTGGTGACTTCGTCAATTTCGAGAATTTGTTGACCCTGTCTTCGAAGATGTTCATTGGGTAGAATTTGCATGTATGCGTTCATAAGGGTGAGTGTGCGTGCGTTGTCAGCGTGTGCATTATACTGTGTAATTAAAAAAAATCTACAACTGCTAGCTCTCACACCACCACCTCCTCTGCCTTTTTGACATCCATCTTTATGTCCAGCAGTGATACGAAGATATCAATGTCGAGTCAAGGCTAGACCCGACAGTGATAGCATTAGGTTCGACACTTATTTTCTCTTTTTTATATACTTTATTATTACGTTTGAATAAAAGTTGGTATCTAATATTTTATATTTGATATTATTAATATATCACACTACCATCACATATATCACACATTCAATAACCAATAAATCATGACAAGAAAATCATACATATATAACATGCAGCGATGAAGTCAATACAAACTAAAGTCCATACAAACATAATTACAGCTTATAGTCTCATTAGTCCAAAACAAGTGGAGCACACTTGCTACTACTAATTATTACGTGTCATAACATTGTCCATGTAGCGAACATTTGTAACACCCAAAATACGTTTTGTATATTAGAAAGCACAAAGTGGCAAAATATTGAACAAGAGTTTTAATTTGTGGCAAAAAATGAATTTTTTTTCATCGCTCGCATTGATGATATGAGACTAGATACATAGAGCTCATCGCAATCATTTCATTTGATTACTTACAGTTCGGATCAAGAAGCTATGGTTGTAGAAGATTGGAGGGAGAAAAAAACCTTGTGAATAGTAACCGAATCGGTTTCCTTGGCTGAGTCCTTTTCTTTTCATGCGTGCCTTTCCCTTGAGTCCTTTGCTAAATGTCCTGGCTAGAACGGTGCTCATCAGTTCGTTGCTCGACGGTCAGTTGGTGTACCTAATGTGAGCAACTCCACTGCCGCCAGGTGTGATCTTATAGCTTGATCGACGAAGAAGGGCCTTCCTGTGGAACGGCCAATCGCCAGCTTCACACGCTCATTGCCTCATCGCCTGAGAGTGTGTCGGCTCGGAACGTGCCACTGGAGGCCTTGGAGTCAAAGACCTAGCCATCCATAATGACCATCACTGAGAGCTTGACTTCGTCCTGGGCAATCTGGGTCCCTGAACATGTCTGCATTGCCACTTTGGACAGCGAGCTCAACAGGTCGCAATGGAACGCTCTGCACTCCTTGCTGCCAGTTTACAGAGCGGTGACCACGGTGAAGCTTGGAAATGGACGCAATACCTCCTGGTTCGACGCCTGGGATATCCTGTTTATCGGTTGGACCCGAAATTGCGAAATTTTCGAGATATCCCGTTTATCGGTTGGGACCAAAAATTTTACTCTATCACCCGAAATTTTCAGAATTTTAAAATTTGTCTGCCGAAATAGACACCAAAGCCCACCCAATGCTCTAACCTTAATCCATGTTTCATTTTCTCTCCTCTTCTCTTCCAGATTCAAGTTGCCACCGCCGCCACACACTCGCATGCTCCAGTTGTGTCGCTGCCCTCCTCGTTGAATGGGCAATTGATTTGGCCCCGTTTGGCTTGCTGAAACTTGACTGAATTGGCTGAAAAACACTGTTCTGGCTGAATTGTTATGAGAGGAAAACACTGTTCCGACTGAAAAAACAAGCTGAATAGTGCGGATTATAAGGTAAGCCGAACGGGGCCAATATGGTTTTATTTAGTTTTTTATTTTAAATGCGTTAGAAGTTATCTATGTGTTTTCCTAAATAAAATGAGCTATTTTTTGTCCAAACTTTTTTTGAAACTTTTTTCTATCACCGATAGAATTCCGATATATCCGATATTTTTGTTTATCAGTGACCACCGATATTTAAAAATATCTGTAGAGTAAACCTTGGTGATGACTGCCTTGCTGACAGGCTCCTGGTGCTTCTCAGACACTGCAGGAAGCCGACTTACGCCCTGTTCATTTGGGCTGGTTTGGCTTATAAGCTATGGCTGAAAGTACCGTTGGCTGGTTTAGTGTGGGAGAAAAATACTGTTCGTTGGCTGATAAGCCATGGCTTATAAGTCAAATACGACCAAACGAACAGGCTGTTACACCATAGCACAGGTTGCAAGACTTCAGGGAGCATTCGTCACCTTGTGCCACGGTTATCACCACAAGCTACTGAAGAACTTCAGACTGCTCAAGAGTTGCTGCAACAAGTTCAGTTAGCCGATGCACACGATACTAGACAGAACCCGCTCATAACCATGACCGGCACCTTCTCTGCAGCACTGCTATACAAACTTCTGAAATCAGGGCAGCAACAAGACGATCGAGCTAAGTTCATTTGGGGAAGTCACGCAGCACAACGGGTGCAATTCTTCACTTGGCACCTTCTCAACAATCGCATTCAGTGCAAAGAAAACTTGTTCAAGAAAAAGATAACCTCTAACGGTACTTGCGAAGTCAGTTCTCAGGGGACTGAAACAGCAGCGCACATTATGCTCGAGTGCCCCTTCGCCAAAGTTTTCTCGGAGTTGATCAAGGTTCAAACGGACAATAACACCTCAGCGGCCGACATACATAAGCTGCCTAGACCCAGCTATATACCTGCAACTCACGTTAATGCTACTCTGGAAGAGAAGGAATGATGTCATTTTCCAAAAGCAAGCGTACAACGAGGCTCACTACGTGAAAAATGGTTTTTAGCAACGGGATAAATTTTTTGTAGGGTCGGCTGGTGATGGAGCCGCCCCTACAGTGACGTGTTTAGGAGCCCAGAGACCAGCCGCCCCTACAGATAAAACAGCAGGGGCGGCTGGTGATACGAGCCGCCCCTACAAATTGGTATGATTTGTAGGGACGGGTCACTCACCAGCCGCCCCCGGTGTTACGATTTGTAGGGGCGGCTCAATCACCGGCCGCCCCTGTTTTCGCGTGACCGCAACCGCTGGGCCCTGCCGCCTTCCCTCTGAGACCGAGCACGCGCACGCGAATTGAAAATTCGCCGGCCTCGCCGCTTCGCACCTGCTGCTTGCTGACCGAAACTACTGCACCGGTCCCACCTCATCTCGTTTCGCGTGCGTGGTATGGAAAACAACCGGCGCCGCGCCCCTGGTTTTGACGAATCCGCGGTCGCGTGGCGTGTGGCCACACGCACCCACCCCTTCCTTTTCCCAGCGCCCTTAGACTGTCCACAGTGTGAGCGGTGCCGAAAAAAAATTCACACAGAGCACCGATGCTTCAGCTCTCCAATTCTCCCAGCGTGGGCACCGGTGCTTCACTGTGCTTGTGAACCCCGTGACACACCGTCGTAGCGGCCGCGGAGGCAGAGGCGAACGAGGAATAATATTTTTTAACATTTGAAGCACCGGTAACATGCATCGGTGGCCACTTTTTTTTCATCTCAGCACCGGTTACAATGTGGACATCGGTGCTCCAAATAGGAGAGAGAGTGTTTGGGCACCGGTAAAAAGCAACGCTGTGGCTAGTCTTATCGCCACACTCTCCCACTCCTTCCTTTTCCCAGCTCCGCCCTTTAGTGTTCCAGAGAGAGGCCTGGTTCGTCGTCCTTCTCCCTCCCCTTTCTTGCTTCATCTTTTTGGATTGAGATGTTTTGTGGAGTTTTTAGTTCATCCATGACGAGCTAGGACACGTGCTGAACTAATCCCTCCAGTGATTTAAATCAATTTGGCACAAGCTCGTAGATCGATCCGGTTTTCGCTTTTGAGGAGGAAAAACCCGTCCTTGTCTACAATATGAATTTTCCCGGAGTTTGGATTAATCCTTTGTAGCAAGTCGAATTTCTCCTGTGCAAATTCTGGGGATGAACCATGGAGGTTTGGATAGGATTTGGTTGAATTTCTTGGTGCCGCCTTTCTTGTTCGTTCTTTACTGTGGTTCCGTGAGGTTCTTTACTGTGGTTCTTCGTCAGGTTCTTGCTGTGGTTCCGTGAGGGCACCTGTGGCAAGGAGAAGGATGAGCCCGGGCGGGCGGCGCCATGGAGGCCCCGCCTGGACCGAATCGACGAGTCCATCGGCCGCGCCTCCATGCGCAGCGCGTCCAGCCACAGCGCCTGCAGCGAAGCCTGATGCCGTCACATCCCTCAACCCTTTTCCCTCCTTTAGCTTTGGTTTCTAGCTAGATTTCTTCTCTCTTTTCTGATTTCCTCTCTGTCTCTCTTTAATTAATCTCTCTTCTTTTACAGTAGTGCATACAGATGGCTGGTTTTGTTTGATGTTTCTAGTAGAAGAATTGTAAAGATCCATAGTACAGTGCCGGATTGTATTGCCTATGATGTGATGATGAGTTTGTTGCTTTGCTGATGGTGTTATTAGATTCAGGCATTAAGCCAGCGTCGTATTGTCAGAAGCTCCTCTGCTCGGTTGCTTCTCTAACGTCATGTTCTTGTAATTTGTAAAAGCTTGGCTCGCTAGTGCGCCCCTTCTCTAATTTGTCATCAGAGACTGGTCTGGTCTGGTGCGGACAGTCTGCCCTAGATAATCTCGCGCGCCTTCATGCGCGGCCAAGGCGACGGGGACTGGATCTACGGCGGCGAGGTCCTGGCAGCAGTGGACCCGTGCCTCTACGCCAGCTCGGGCGGCAACAGGGCACACGGCGCGCGTTCCCTTGCCTGCGCACCGATGGTCGTGGGCGCGGTGGCCTCTGCAGTTCCGGGGCACGACGGCAATGGATTTGATTTTTTTCCGGAAAAATGTACCGTCGGTCGCTCAAAAGAAAGGGTGTACGCTGACCCACCGCCTGCAATCACCGATATACACATCTACAGGTAACTACATTACATTTATCTTGTAATTGATCGAGGCAATTATTTTCTGTCAATATAGATTTACTCGTGTGTTTTATCATTTTGATTGACACGGACGGGATTGTAGATGGGTTGAATTCCATGAAGTGGGAATGGAACACATATCTTCCATATGGGATGTGAGTGCCATGGTTTTTTGGAAAGGCAACCTACGACATCACCATGGTGATACATATTTGCGTGTAATTTTGAAGGATGAGCAGGTGCATTTTGAGCTCATCTTTTTAGACCATGTCTAATTTTTTTTTGTACAGACCATTGTTATCTATCTGTTGGATCTAATATTCTTACAGGGAACCAAAATGGAAGCAGTTGCGTACGGCGACCAAACCATGAGGTTCGATCGTTTGCTTCGTGTAGGAGAATGTTATGACTTCATGAGAGTTGGCTTCGTGCCTACTCATGCTGGTCCTTTGGGCTACATCTTTCGTTTATGTGCTGACTGCTTTGTGGTTCTATCTCCATAAAGTATGGCTAATGCACCACCGAGAGAGCTATGGATTTGTCAGTGTCCTCGTACCTTTATGGAATTCGAGGATGTATACGCTGAAGCTGAGTACTTTTTTGCATGTATACCTCATACGCCTATATTTAAAAATACATAGTTAACTGTTTATGCTCCTATTCCATCAATAACTATCGTTTGTGTTTGTAGATGTCATTGGTATAGTTGTGCATGTGTCTAATATTTGAGGAAGGGATGACGTGCGGATGCGACCGTACAGATATGTGGTGCTGATGAATGAAAGGTCCTTACAATGAAAAATTTATCATTGCTTCATGCTATCAATTTTTTATTGTTTGATGCTAATCAATTTTGGCCCCGTTCGCTTGTCTGAAACTTGGCTGAAACTGGCTGAAAAACACTGTTCCGGCTGAATTGTTGTGAGAGAAAAACACTGTTCCGGCTGAAAAAAGAAGCCGAACAAGTCATTTTTAAGACAAGCGAATGGGGCCTTTGTAACTCGTAGGTACCACTGCATCATAATAACCGTCAAGTATACACACATATGCCATCACTTATCGGAATGGCGGCGAGCGCAATTATAGTTGCGCATTTTAGCTGGTCTCCATGTACAAATGAATAGAAAGAGAGGTATTGTATCACTGATGTCCTCGTATGTATTGACTAAATAAAGTATCAGTTATTACATTTTTTTGCTCGTGCATGATAGGCGAATTGGTATTAAGTCCTATTTGTAATCAGGCGCATGATTTTCAAAGTGGGGTTCTTTTGGGTAATTCATTGATTTAATTTATTGACTACAATACTGCCCCAAAAGTTTTTTATTTGTTTATAGGTCTACGCAATCGTCTGCTTGTTGATGAAGACAGACGTCATCGAGTTCAAGAATTTGCTAAGGACACCGTGTCGCGTCTCATAGATTTAGAGAACTAAATAATATTGAAATTATTTATATGCTTGTGACATGCACTTTGAATAGATGATGGACATAAATTTATTTTAATATAATAGTCATTTTGTGCATTTTCATTGGTCAAACAGGTTCAAAATATGTTGATTGAGCAATGTTTGTCTGACATATTTGATTGCTTCATTTAATTTGTAATATCGGATACTTCTTGCCAACATAAAACATTATTTTAGCCGTATCACGGAAAGGTCTATATAGTAGAGTTTGTGAGCCTGCGGTGCCGTGCTCTTAGTGACTGTTAATTTCATAAACTTTGCTTTTTTGGATTAAATATCAGTTTAATGTCTTACAATATTGTTATCTTAACGTGCGATCCGTGTGTTTTTAGTACAAAAGTTTAGTTGTCCCGTAGCAACGCACGGGCACGCAACAACATACTCAGCAAGATAGAATTAACGATCAACAGTCTATTGCGAAAACAAAATATAAATCTTTAACGTCCGACCTTCTGATGGTAAATTGGTACTTTTAATGACTACCATGTGATGCTAAAGATGGGCTGTGGTATAGTGTGTGGGCGCATGAGCGCACACGCTATGTGTAGCCCTCGAGCTCGTGACTGTTTAAGGAAATCAATCCGGGTAATCATACTGTCATGGCACTAATTTTGGGGTTTAGGGAACCCCATGGTTAGATACACAATGCCGTCTATAAAGAAAAATTTAGGTGTCAGTAAAAACACCAAAATATTGGATTGTTCTCCGCACTAAAACACGCAACCTACTGCTAAGCAGTAACACCTCCCTCCTACTGCACTGGACACTCGTGAGTATATATATAGAATTATGTATTTTAAATAAATATTTTGGAATAGTGTGTTGAATAATTTGGCTATTAAATGAACTTGAATAAAAAATTTCAATACAAAGTTTTAAATCTTGTCCATGCAACTGTAATATAGGATGTGTCTCCATCCAAGATTGTTTGAAAAAATAAAAAAAAATTGAATATCAAAATATGTGAATTTAAAACAAATATTTGACACACTAAACAGCTTCAAATCAAAAACTTATTAACATAAAAATGTAGACTAGGCCAGCCACTATAACTTTGTTGTTAACTATGTGAACATTCAAGATTGTTTAAAAATTCTAAATTTTGAATTACAAATTCTATGAACTTAAAATACATGTTTGGGACTCTAAATGACTTCAAGTAAAAAATAAATTAACTATAAAGTTGTAGATTTTATTGAGAACTACAACTTTGTTATAGACCATATCAACATTAGAGGTTGTTTGAAAATTTTAAATTTTAAATTCAAATTTGTGAACGTAAAACAATATTTTGGGAGACTGAACAGTTTTAAATTCAAAACTTCTCAACTACAAATCTGTAGATCACATTGAGACATAGAATTTTGATATATAGATCGTCTTAATTTGAGCTCATATGGAAAAAATTATGTTTTTTTGATACAACTATTTATAGAGACGATCACCTTGAGATGTCCGCCTCTGCAAAAATAACCGCCTCTGTTAATATCAATTGTCAGAGACCTCCTAAGATGATGGTATGTGTTAATTGTGATTTTAAGAGGCGGTAGCCTTGCAACACCCGCCTCTATAAATCAATTTTGGAGACAGACATTTTCTTGTAGACCTTCTGACCAGTTACGTAGACAGACCCTAAATATGTTCATATGTTAATCAGAGAATGGTTATTGTAGTAGTGGCAAAGCCACTATATATTTATCGTGGGCACTGTCACATAGATCAATGTCAAGAATCTTTCAGAGCATGTCTTGATCACACACAAACCTGACGGCATCCAGCCTGACCACTCAGACTCCCTAAATTTTAGGTAATCTCAACTAGCCACAACAAAAGATCACAAATAAACGTCTTAATTGGGTCACCACAGAATGCGTGTGATTCCCGACATAGATACCTTGACCATTGAACAGGTTCTCTCTTAAAAACTCTAGGTTTTTTTCTTTTCTTTTTTCACGAGTGTACTGCTGAGGTATGTATTTCATTGAGTAGAAGTAGAGTTTGAAACATTACAAAGACCCGAAAGTAATCTTAGGATTACCACTGCACAGCAGTCCCAAACAACCGTGCTAACTGGAGAAAATGTTTTCTTCGAGCTCAAATCTGTCTCCTTTTAATTTTATAGGCTAGTCAGGGTCAGGCCACCTGCCTCACAAAGCACGGTCTCAGGATTCCCTAGTTGTCCACCGTGGACCAATATATGACTACAAAACTAGAGTCTAAATATTGTTTTCTTTTCTGATCGCTACAAAGGCTGCTGTCTTTTAGTTGGATTGAATATATTCAAGTGTTTCGCTCCTGCAGCCACATTTTCATGTGGGTTCTTCTAAATATGACCAAGCAAAATGGGAATCACCTAGTTAGGTTCCTTGTGATAGAATCTATTCAACTAGGTGTAAGATCTCGAGTTGATGTGAGTGCTCGTATTTTCTACATTTATTTATTTTAGGATTTATGGTGCTAATATTTTAGTGGTAGGTGACATGCCTATTGATATTGTGGTACCTTACCTGCCATGATTTTATCAATCTCGAGACTGTCGGCAGTGGTGATTATGTATGCATGTATACAAGTGCATGCGTATATACAATGATTTTCATATAAATATATAAAAGAAAAACATGGCCAAAAAGGTACCATGGTTCAATTCCATGTACTAATTATTAGAGAAGCTCTGAGAGACTCTAAATCCTTCCTAATTTATTAGAATAAAGATTTTAGTAAAAAAGTATCCTCCAACAGTTTTTTTAATTGGATCTCCATATATAGACGTCCTCTATTTTGGTTTTCTCGCTAGTCAAAGATGGAGAGTGAGGATTGTCTCTAAAAGAAAAGTTATTGGAGGGTGCAAAGATATAGAATATGATTTTTACTCAAATGATTCTCTAAATAATGATTTAAAGAGGAGTCTTGAAGATACTCCTATACATTTGACACTTGCGGAAAAACTACACAAAGACTCCGACAAACCATATCCGAAGTGAAAACTTGGCCAAAACAAGGGTTTTCTCTACCCGTCCATTGTGTAACGCAAATTCCAGTATATATTTATTGTTGGCACTGTCAGGTAGATCAACATCAAGAATCTTTCACAATATGTCTTGACCACACACAAACCATACGGCATCCAGCCTGACCACTCAGACTCCCTAGATTCGAGGTAATCTCATCTAGCCACACACATGACTGTGCAATACAACTATACATACATATAGTACGCTCAATATCATTATCTTAAAGCTTTGGCCAAGTAAGATCACTTGACTCCTGAGAGCCCCAAATATAGTCCTAAATACTATATTGAGCAAGGGTTAAGAGGTTTTCTCAACCAGTTCTTCAACAATTCTTATTTTTTAAAACTAGCTCAACTCCATGTAAATGGTAAGCTTATATGTAACCATTCCCCACCGTTGCTGCAATAGGAAAGTGTGAACAAACAGAGAGGAAGAAAACAGAAAATCTAACTCAAGGCAGGCACGCAAAAAAAAAATGTAACTCATTGATACACAAAATTTCATTTGCCTTAAAAAAATTCTAGTAATTTGGATGCACTGCAACAACACATGTAATTGTTCATATATAGTATGCTGTTTAGAAACATGGTCAAACAAATATCGTTTTCAGTATACTAATAACTTGACCTGTTCATACTCCCACATGACAATTACCTTAAAAAAGAATGAAGACAGGGTGCAGACTCCAAACAAGCGAGCCATTCCTACTGAGTAGGTAACAAACTGCCTACCTCCTTGCGGGATATATATCGCCCAATAGAGTGCAAGCTTCAGTGCCATCGAGCCTATACCCTTGCTTATTCACTGAGTTGCTTATCCTCATGTGCGAGATGAATCATATGTCCTTGTTCCTTCCACTCATCTTCTTCATTGTGCTATGTGTTTCAGCCATTGCTAATGGTGAAGACCAATTTTCCTACTCTGGCTTCACTGGTGTTAACCTTACTCTCGACGGTGTGGCCACAGTCACACCAAATGGCCTCCTTGAGTTGACCAATGGAACTCTACGGCTCAAAGGCCATGC